AACAGAAGAATTCATGACCAAACAGGAGATAGAGAACATTATGAAATGCAAAATGGATAATTTTGATTGCATTAAATTGAAAAGGTTTTGCACAAAAAAGGCCAATGCAAACCAAGGTTAAAAGCAAAGTAGAAAACTGGAAAAGAATTTTTACAACCAGTGTCTCTGAGAAGGGCCTCATTTCTAAAATACATAAAGAACTAAGTCAAATTTATTAGAATACAAGTTATTCCCCAGTTGATAAATGGTCAAAGGATAAGAACAAGCAGTTTTCAGATGAAGAAATTAAAGCCATCTATAGTCATATGAAAAAATGCTCTAAATCACTATTGATTAGAGAAATGCCAATCAAAATAACTCTGAGGTACCACATCACACCTATCAGATTGGCCAACATGAGAAAACAGGAAAATGATTAATGTTGGAGATGTGGGAGAATTGTAACACTAATGCATTGTTGGTGGAGTTGTGAAATGATCCAACCATTTTGGAGAGAAATTTAGAACTATGCCCAAAGGACTATAAAAATATGCATACCCTTTGACCCAGCAATAGCACTTCTAGGGCTATATCCCAAAGAGATCATACAAATGGGAAATGGACCCACATGTACAAAAATATTTATAGCTGCTCTCTTTGTAGTGGCAAAGAATTGGAAATTGAGAGGCTGCCCATCAATTGGGGAATGGCTGAACAAGCTGTGGCATATGAATGTAATGGAATACTATTGTGATATAAGAAATGATGAACACGGTGACTTCAGAAAAATGTGGAAAGACTCATATGGTCTGATGCTGAATGAAGTGAGCAGAACCAAGAGAATGTTGTACACAATAACAGCCGCATTATGCGATGACTAATATTGATAAACTGAACCCTTCCCTACAAAGATCTAAGACATCTCCAAAGGCCTTGTGATGGAAAATGCTATCCACATCCAAAGAAAGCACTATGGAATTTTGAATGCAGATTGAAGCATACTATTTGCTATTTTTTTTCTCTTCTGTTGAATTTTGTTTCCTCTTTTTGGTGGTTCCTCCTATTGGTTCTAATTCTTACAACATCACTAATGTGAAAATGTTTAATAGGAATGTAAAAAAAAAAGATTACTACTTCCCTTAGTAACCAATATTCCCTATGAATAAGATATAATTTCATATTTTTTGTTTTTTTGGTGTTCTCCATACACAGCATTTCCTGTTTTTGATTAAAATATTTGTAAAATATAAGTGTGAGGGTTTTGTAGTGCATAATCCTTTGACCTCTTTATCTTCTTAATCATACTTTCTAAACTATTAAAATATGTGTTCAAAGTAAAAAAAAAAGGGGGGGGCATAGTCTTTGACCCAGCAATACCACTTCTAGGGCTGTATTGCAAAGAGATCATACAAATGGGAAAAGGACCCACATGTACAAAAATATTTATAGCAGCCCTTTTTGTGGTGGCAAAGAACAGGAAATTGAGGGAATGCTCATCAATTGGGAAATGGCTGAACAAGTTGTGGCATATGAATGTAATGGAATGCTATTTTGCTATGAGAAATGATGAGCAGGCAGACTTCAGAAAAACCTGGGAAGACTTGTATGGACCAATGCTGAATGAAGTGAACAGAACCAGAACAATGTACACAGTAACAGCCATGTTTTGTGATGACTAAAGTTGAAAGACTTAGCCCTTCTCAGCAATGCAAGGATCTAAGACATCTCCAAAGGTCTCATGATGGAAAATGCTATCCACATCCAAAGAACTATGGAGTTTGAATGCAGATTGAAGCATACGATTTGCTATTTTTTTCGTCTGCTTTGTTTTTTTTTTCTTGTGGTTCCTCCTATTGGTTCTAATTCTTCCTCACGACATCACTAATGTGAAAATATGTTTAATAGGAATGTATATGTATAGCATATATCAGATTGTGTGCTGTCTTGAGGAAGGAGGTGAGGAGGGAGGGGGAGAAAAATTTAAAACTCAAAAGCTTATGGAAGTGATTGATAAATTAAAATAAATTAATAAAACAACAAAAAAATAACAGCAGTCTATTTAATGACCAATATCTAGCTACTTCTCTGAAGTGGTTAATGGATACCCTTATAAAATACAGTCATCCCCTTCCACATCACAACTTTCCCCATCAGTTTTGATGTATTGTGGTTCAGCATATGAAATTAAATGGTAATTTTTGAAGAGTTCGTGGAAGCCACAGACAACACGTGATGGCCAAAAGACAACACAGAGCCTATGACCAAATACTTAACCCAAATTTTACAGTTAGGTACTATAAAAATGCCCTAAGAGAAAAAAAAAATTAGACTTCTCTGGTACAAAGGGAAGGCCAAAAAATTTTACATTGATTTTCCAAATTTGGAGGGGGGAGGAAGATACTACACCTGTAACACTTGAGATGTAGAAGGGTAAATGTATAACTATAATGAGTAAATGCATATGAGGTGTTGTTCATTACTCCTGTGATTTGATAGAAGTTAGGTCTTGGCCAGCTGGATAGAGAAAAAAATATACTTTAGTTGGTGGAAAATTTCTTCTCTTCCGATGGATACCACTTGCAGTGTCCAAGTCTATAAGACAATTATCTGCATTAAGCTGCAATTTTTGCAAGGATTTATGGATAGAAAACTGTGTAATTTATTGTGTAACCAGAAACATTTTTCTGGTCTGGAGGAAACCAGTGAGGGGTAAACATAAGCCCACATGTTATCTATATAAAGATATGCCTTGGGCATTTCAGTCCCTTAAAAATCTTAGGAGGGAATAAGGATGAAAAGGCAGTTGTGGAGAGAAACGAAGGAAATGGAACAGACTGTATTACACAATCATGTATTAATGAAAGTTTTTTTCTTTGTTCACTTATCATTAAATAATATTCAAATGTTAGTACATATTCTACTAATTTTCCCTGTCTTTTGGCAGTCCATTGGAGCCTAGGGACCTTTTCTGAGAATGTTTTTAAATGAATGAAATATACAGGATCATAAGAGAAACCAATTATATTGAAATGCAATCAAAATATACATGAACAGACCCCAGATTAAGAATCCCTTAAAGAGTGGTTCATCTGAAACCAAATCCTGAAAAAACTGATTTTGTACCTATTTTATTAATGTGTAATAAAAAAAAAGTATCAGCTACTACACAGTAACTGACCAGTTATCACATTGTCAAAATGCAATACACATGGACATTTTAAAGACAAAATAATGCGTTGAAGATAAAGAGATGTATTTTCACCTCAAAGCAAAAATATTTTTACTTAAGTTGTGATCTTAGTTCCTTTAGATTCACTTCTTATCAAAATTAGAGCCCTAAAGATGAATTAACTACTTTAGGGAACTGCAGGTTTATCATGAACTAGTGACATTTCAGAAAAGTAATCTGGAAAAAATATTTCAATAAAATGATTATAGTCACTACTGATGTTGTCTTAATGTGCTAAAATGAGATTATATGTGATTCTTTCAAAATTTCTGAGTTGTACGATGTCCATTAGCAAGATTCCAGACTACCTCATATAGCTATGCATAAGCCATGGCACTTTAAGACTTCTAATTTTTGTATCATCACATTTTCTGGCTTCTCTGACAATACAGTAATCATGGAGTTATTTTGGTTGTGACTACACCTTCCTTTGCTTGATTTCAACAAATGATAAATACAATTTTGTCAGTTTCATATCCCCAACTACAGACTTTGAATGGTATCATACATCACCTTATTATACAAATGTTGAATTTAACATATAATTTAAATTATATGCAACTATTAGATAAGTAATTTTTTTTCCAGGGTTATACTGATGCTTTTTTTTTTAAAAAAAGGAATAAAACTAAATAAGATTTTTTGGGAAAAAAGCCAACAAGCACAATGCATGTAACAATTTTTTTTATTAACAAAAGGAACCCATAGGGTTCATACATGAATACAAAATACAATCTTTTTTTTTTTTACTGTGGGTTAATATTTTGTAACAGCTTTTCTTTTCAAATTGAAAAACTGTTTCACAGCTCACTTAGAGAAAAAAAAACCTTGCTTATTGTGCAAAACGGAAAGCATTAAGGTTTTTGCCCTGTAAAAGTTTTATGTGCCAAGACACACATTTTCCACTTTATTTTTTTTAAAGCAAACAATTCTAAGGCCACAGTTCATTTGCAAAACAAAAGAGCCACAAAGAGGTGAAAACCAAGCACATCCCAGCAGCATATTTACTCTTCAATGAATATTCTTGGTACCACAATGATATTGAGGTAAATGTCCAAAGTCAAATGACAACCTTTGTGATTTTCTAAATTAGACAAATATTTTTCTTAAGGTAAGTATTTTATATAGCCTTATACTGTAAGTTAGCTACATCAAATACAAATTAGGCAAATGCATTCATTTTTCCACTTTTTTTCTTGTGCTTCAAAGTTACTGTCTACTGACGGTATGTGCATTACATGATTTTATTCTTTCAGGGTGCCAAAACACCAAGTTTAAATAAGTACTTAATTTTGTCAAGTGAATCCAAGAAACCAGTTTAACTATATTTGTGAGTTTGATTTGGAATATTTCCCAATTAAACAATAATTGTTTTGGTATTACAGAAAAACCTGATCTTTTTGTTTTTTTTAAGGCAATTGGGGTTAAGTGACTTGCCCAGAATCACACAGCTAGTAAGTGTCAAGTGTTTGGTCTGAAGCCGAATTTGAACTCAGGTTCTCCTGACTTCAGGGCCGGTGCTCTATCCACTGAGCCACCTAGCTGCCCCTAAAACCTGATCTTTTTTACAAGCCTGCAAATCAACAATTTTCAAAACAAGGACTATTTGAAGACGGCATTTCCCAAAATAATACAACAGAACAAAGCTGTGTAATTCAGACAGTTAACAACTCAGGTAGCACAATTTTATATCATGACTTTAAACAGTGGTTTAAAAGTAAAGAAGTGCTTACAAAACTCAAATGATTGAGAGGTATGTTCTGAAGAGTATAAAGAAAACATATATACAATGTGAGTAGAAAAAATCCCTGCTGTTTTAATGATTATGGTTTTTAAACAGAAAATCATTTAATTTTTTTTCCTGTTTTAATTGCAGTTAATGATTATGGGAAGCACCAAGGTCTTGAGACAAAACCCTTATGACACAGAAAACAAATACTCTTGTCACTTAAAACTGAAATCTATCACCTCATTTTATGCCAGAAAAATAAACACTAGGAGCCCTACAATCTTTCTGAAACTTAGTGTTAGATCATCAGTTTGCCAAACAAAGTCTAATTAAATACCAAAGATTCTTAACTTTGATAATAGGGTTATGGGGGGAACTGCATGTACTTGTAGCAGCAATACAATTATGATGATCTGAATGTCCTGAGGTTGTGACATAGCAAAATATTGCACCTGAAAAAAACCCAAACAAACAAAAAACAAACAAAAAAATTTAAATAGAATTATTCAAAAATGGGAACAGTAAAATATGTGGTCACTGCCACTCTGATGTAGATGAAGTTTAAACTAAGTTTTTTTCCAGAGGATATCTTCCTCTTATGAATGTATGGCATTTACTATTACTTTCTTGCTTATATCTAATTACAACTATATGCATATGTTTACTTATGTTCTTACATATTATATATATGTATACATAATTAACCTTCATTTTACTCTAATCTTAATAGTTCCAATAGTCCATTTCAAAATCACATTACAAATGACTATATAATCTGATACTGCAAATAACAGAAGCTCAATTACAACTTTTGGTCTCAGGTTTATAACTTCTAAGCAGGTAACTACAACTCTTGAAGAGGTAGGCTTCAGAAAAACTTGAATATCTTTTGTCTATTTCATCAATCAAACTTACAAGAAACTGCTAAATCTCCTTCCTGTGCCTTTAGTTACAGAAATATAAAAAAAGGAAAATCCTAAATCTACCATGTCAGTTCGAGAAAACCATTAAGAAAATTAAAATTCCAGGATAACAAAGTATGCTGAAGTCATACAAAATTTGACTTGTATTCCCTTTGAATTCTGAATCACTTTTGTTTTCTGGGAGCAATTTTTAATTTCATAACACTGTACAAAATACTGCTTATGAACTGAATCTTTAAATGACAGTGGCCAAATTAAATTATACTACTCCATTTGGTCCAATTAACATGATGATGTTTTTAAAAAGGGTTTTTTTTTAAATAATCTTTTTTAGCATATAAAACATGAAAGCCTTGAATTGGTGGAAAGGGTTCTTTTAAATTTTATATCAGATCATTTTCCTCTTGTACATCTTTTCCTTGATTATGGTCTACAAGACGGCTGCTGATTTATTTATAGAAACCCAAAATTTTTAGGCATTCTGATTTCACTTTGACATAGTCCCTTAAAATGTTTATCTTGTGTTTCTATTATGTATGTGGTACTTTCTTTGTGGGCCACTCAAGTGTTCTTTTCCTTCACTTACTCCATCTTCATCTGCACATCGACTTCCATTCAGTGATGCTTATATATTCAATCCCATTATTTAAAGGGCCATCATGCAAACTTGTCCATATCAAAAGCCCACACTTCTTCCATCTTCTACATTCTTTAGCTTTTATGTTCAAAACTGATACTGAAAGCTAAGTTCCCCTACTTCTACAGCCCTTTCCCAACAAAGGCAGCAGGAAAGAGTTCATGATCTAATTTGATCATGACTCCAGCAGTTTCTGAAACAATCATAGCATAAATGAAACAGTTTGAGTCTCTTCTGTATCAGCAGGATGTGGATCAACCTGAAGGAGAGAGATTTAGTAAGATTTTTAACATTTGATATTAGAATAATTTTATAGTTTAATGTATATGAGTGGTTAACTGAGGTGCTTTAAATCTGGTTCTAGAGTAAGACCAAAGTCCTGAGTTCAATATCCCCATGTGGGGCACTTAATTTTGTAGTTTAATGGCTAGACTGACCTTAATTAACCTTGGACAGTCTTCCTGTAAATGCATATTACTGTCCATAAGGGAAACAGTACAAGACAATGTAAATGTAATCAGGGCAAACTTATAATCACTATCAGAAGACCTTTAAAATGACCTCTTGATGAGAGGTCTGCAATATTAATATTTATGAAGGATAACATTTATAATTTGAGAGTATTAGAATTGATTGAAACATGTATACTTTACCTCTGAATATAGAGGTGGAGGCTGAAATCGAAATTCTTGTATATAAGCAAAAAGAGGACAGCATATTTCTTCCTGACAATCAGTTGGCTGAGGGTAAGGAGGAATGTGCCTAGAATATTCTTCTTCTGATACCACATCAGCATAATTTGGTGGTGCTGCAACAGAAAAGTACTCAAATCTAAAAATTCGATATAACTAATTACATGTATAATATCTATACTTCCATACAAGCAGTCTATAAATAGTTGCTACTGCCCATTTCATTCAACATTTATTATCTACTATTAAATTTCCTTGCTGTGCCTTTAGTTACAAAAATATAAAACAAGAAAATTCCTAAATCTAGCATGTCAGTTGGGAAAAAACCATTAAGAAAATTAAAACTCCAGGACAACAAAGTATGCTCAAGTCATCCAAAATTTGACTTGTATCCCCTTTGAATTCTGAGTCACTTTTTTTCTGGGAGCAATTTTTAGTTTCATAATCCTGTACAAATTACTTCTTATGAACTGAATCTTCAAATGACATTGGGTAGGCTAAGATTTTGTCTAATGCATTATTCTTGTCTAGTCAATAAGATCTTAGTGCCATTGGCAAGTCAAGAAACTTAACAGACTATTTTTTAATCAAATCAGATTACTTCAAACATTTTTTAAAATAAATGATGCCTTCACCAAAATTTTCCCCAATATCCCCCCCTCTACCCTCTCCTGTTAGAGAATGATGCCATATAATAAATATTGGTTCTAAAGAAAAAGAAAAAAAATCAACAAAACTTATCAATACATCAGAAAAATGCCTGAATATGTGCAATGTATATCTATGGACCTCTATAAAAGGGTGGGGGTGAAGGTGTCTTCTCATCTCTTCTATACTGATATTATAGTGACTTTCTTCTTGGCCTCCCTAAAATACAAGCCTAACAGCAAAATCATGGGGTTACAATAATGACATCAATTGCTTTCCAAATAGGTTGTACTGACTCACAACTCCACCAACAATGCACTAATATGCCTATCTCTTCACATCACTTCTAACATTGACTTTTCCCTTTTGTCACTTTGGCCACTTTGAAGGGTGTGAAGTGACACCTCAAGATTGTTTTGATTTGAATTTCTCTTATTAATAGTGATTGAGTATTCTTTCATAGGTTGCTAATAGTTTACAATTCTTTTGAGAACTGTTTGATCAGAACCTTCGACCATTCATCTTTTGGGGAACAACTTTTGGATTATTTCTAATTTTGAATATTTGTTTCTTAAACTGGGCCCGCAGATTTCATTGCTACAAGGAACTGCCAGTGAAGAAATTCACCTTTCAATTAGATTGTACCTTTTCCATTACTAATAACTTCATAATGCTTAAGAAAACATTCTTATTGTTAAGTGATTTGCCCATGATCACATGGCCAGAGACAGAACTATTCCTTTTATCAAACACATAATTTTAGATTTGTAATGGTACCACTCTATGGAGCAGCTAGGTGATGCAGTGAATAGAGCACTGGCCATAAAGTCAGGAAAACCTGAATTCAAAGCCAGCCTCAGACCAAACACTTGACACTTACTAGCTGTGCGACCCTGGACAAGTCATTTAACCCCAAATTGCCTAGAAAACAACAACAACAACAAAAACAGTACCACTCTCAAACATGGCCAAATTATGTATTCTACTGTTCAAAAATGAAGAGAACATGTATATTATTAATTTTATATTAATAGTAGCACTTGGCTAGGAGTTCTGCGCTCTATTCAGATTTGACCTTTGTTAGCTGTATAAAAATAACGTGTTTAAATAACTCCAAAATGAATCGTCATGATTTTGCTACTAACTAGTTGTAGGACCTTGGGTAAGTCAACTAGTTACCTTCTTGAATTTCAGTTTCCTTACAGGGCAAAATAAAGAAAGTAATCCTTGCATTCTTCCTCAAGAGCGGTTATGTCAATCCACTGAGATACTAAAAGTATTTAGTAAATATTTAAATAGAAATGTAAGCTATCATTATTATTATAAAAATTATAGAACCTCAGTTGGAAGAGACGTCTCTACTTGTACAAGAATCCGGTCTACTGAAGGCCTCCAGCAGCAGGAAACCGATTCTGTCGTAAGGCAACCTGGTCAACTTTTGGGCAGCTCAACTTCTCAAAATGTATTTTTCTTATCAATATCTATTTGCTTAAAGGTTTGCCTTCTGGTGCCAAACAAAACAAGAATTCCTTTTGACAAACCTTTACTTACTTGAAGACAGATATCATGTAACTTCCTGATCCTACCAAGCCATTCCCAAGTTAAAAATACCCTATTCTCTTTGCTTGATGCTCACAGGGCATGGTTTACAGTGCTCTAATTTTCCTGGTTACCTTTCTGGATGTTTGTCAATGCCATTCCTTAACCGAATACAATACTCCAGATGTGATCTGATTCGGGAGAGTAAAGTGGGATTAACCATCCTTTTTTCTGATTCTTTTAAGGTAGCCAATGCTCTCCTTGATTTTAGATTCATTGTGAGCTTACAGTCTTTATAGTACTAAAAAACTACTTTTTAATGATGCCTCACCTAATCCTACACTTATGCCATTGAATTTCTGAGTCCAAATACAGAACTTAAAATTTTTCAATCCAATCTAACAAACACTTATTAAGTACTGTGTGTATAGCAAGACAAAATGAAAACCTCCCCTGGTCTCAAAGCGCTTACATTTTCCTGAGGGAACACAACATATAAATAGATAATCTGAGGATGAAAGAATATTTATGACCATAGGTATCAAGAACAGGTTAACAGCTTCCCATATGGTACATAAGCTATAACATCCAACTAGGAGGCTAGGCTATTGGGATGATCTAGGCAAGGTGATGAGGACCTAAACTATTGTGGTGGCCATGCAGAAAAGTGATTAGGTATGAAAGACATTGTAGACATAGACTCAATGTACAGGATAATTCCCAAGCTGTGAACTTTGGTGACTAAGGAACTGGGTGGAAGAAAGGGCTGTGAGGAAGATAATTGTTACGCTTAGGAAATGCTGCATTTGAAATGCCTTTCAGACATCCAATTGGAGATGTCAAACAGGGAATTACTGATGAACGATGGAGATCAGGAGGGCAGCCTCTGACCAGATATATATAGTTAGATCTGGGAGTCATCCTCACAGAGATGATAACTGAAACCATGGAGGGTGAAATCATCAAGACAGGGAGTAGAAAAGAAGAGGGCCTGGGACAGAATTTTGAAGGACACCCAGAATCTGAGGTCAGATGATGATACAACAAAGAGGACTGAAAAGGGATCAAATAGATAAATGACCACAAGACAGCATCACAAAAACCAGATAGCAAAGAGTGGGGAGATGGGCTGGCTAGTCAACAATATCAAATACTGCAGAGGTCAAGAAGATGAGTACTAGGCCAAAAAAATAGAAATTGTTTGGGACTTGGAGTTTCCTCTCATCTCACTGGATTCAACACATCATTCTAATCTGGTGAGGCCTTTTGTGACTCTGATTTTATCATCTAACATATTAGCTAATTCTAGATTTATGTCATTTGCAACTTTGACAAGTGTATGATGCTTATAACGAAGCAACGGATTCTTTGAAGTCATTGATAAAAATGTTGATAAGAACAGGTCTAAGGACATTCTTGGATTACTCTATTAAAGTACTCCCACCCTCTGAATAAGTTAGTAAGAATTAATGATCGATTAATTACTTCTTTTAAAGTATGATCACTCAACCAGTCAAATCCACCTATCATTTATAGACCAACTCTCTCCAAAAGTTCATTGACTCACAGATTTAGAGCTGAAAGAGGACCCTCATTACAGGCTATGAATATAGAATTAGAGCTGAAAGAGGGACTTCCTTAGAGGTATAAATCAAGTTCACAACACCCCCTTCTCCCCATTAAAAAAAAACACATGTGGATATGGAATCTGAATGTATATCAAAGCATACTATTTGCTCTTTTTTTGGTTTCTTCTTTCTTGTGGTTCTTCCCATTGGTGGTTCTTTCTCGTGGTTCTTTCTCATGGTTCCTCCCTAATTCTTCTTTACAACATGATTAATGTGAAAATGTTTAATATGAATATATATGTAAAGCCTTATCAGACTGCATACCATCTTGGGGTAGGTAGAGGAGAGGGGGGAAGGGAAAATTTGGAACTCAAAATCTTATGGAAGTGAATGTTGAAAACTAAAAATAAATAAATTAAAAATAAACACAAGAGGAAACCTAGATAAAGAGAGTTTAAGTGACTTGCTCAGGGTGGTCATACAGATTGTAAGGGTCTGAAGTGAGATTTAAATCCAAGTCTTGCCGATTCTAAATCCAGACCTACCACATCATACTGTAATCTTGCTCACTTGATACTGTGGAAGATTTGGAAAGGTTTTGCTGATATTCAAATATACTATAGCTATTAAGGCATTTCAGGATTTGGAGTAATAAGATCTAGATTTGAAACCCACTTCTACTGCTTAATACCTGTGTGACCATTTTGCTTAAGCTGAGGGGTTAGAATTGGATGACCTCTAAGGTCCTCTGGTCTATGAATATTTCAATTCTAATATAATAACCCTGTCAAGAAGGAAATGAGGATAGCCTGATATGACCTGTTAGTAGGACACCTCTAAGGTCCCTGCCATCTCTGAAACTTTAGTTCTAATACTTTTTTTATTATAGAATTAATAAAATAATTACCTTCAGGATGTTCTGGAAGTGTCAGTGTCAACCAGCTCATGTCCACACCAAACTGACCAACAACACTGGAGTTTCTACTCCCAAAACCACTGTATGGAATTGTGCCAATTACCAATGGCAGCTCTAGCATCAATTTCTTAGCACCAGGAATGTGAATATATACCTATATGCCAGAAATCCAAAACACAAAAATGCACAAAGAGGTCAGAAACCATGACCAATATCAAAATAGGTTTATCATTAACAAAACAATTTTTTTAGAAAGATTATAAAACGTGACGTCAAAGTTATAAAACCCTAAATTTTCAAGATGTGCTATATAACAAATTGGTGTGGTAGACATAACATTACAAAGTCTTAAGGTCTGTTTTAATTTTGATATGGGTTTTATGGTAATAGAAAATTATCAGCTGAAATGCATTAGTTTTCCACATACCTATTTAGTACCTCATCCTTCAACTTTGCCTATAATTCAACACCTAATAGCAAAATTCACACCTATGCACTCTATAATTTACTATAAAATTAAGCTTTCTTTTTACATAGATATTAATTCTGAACAAATTTACATTAATATTGCCTTATTACTTTATTCCATGCATTTTAATTCTCATTAAAAATTATACTCACCGCTAAGGAATAATCTACTCTGATAATACAGCAATCAAGGATGGATGGTATAACAGGTGGAATTTTCAAAGTCTTGCCATTCCATGTATCTGTGCTTCCAGAAGCAATATGGTTTCCTCTAACGTTGGCAACCATTTGCCGAAAAGTCTTGGTCTTCCCACTGGCCAAATAAGTCTGTGTTTGGAAAATGGCAGCTTTGGGAACAATCAGACGAGATGAACAATTTTCAATTTCTGCATAGATTGGTATAGCTTCACCTAGTGAAAGGAAATAATAAAATGCAAATATTAATATAATTATGGTTTCATAGAAATAGCCCAACATAATCCTGTGACAAGTACCTGACTATCAGTTTATTATCAATGATGAATCTTAATTAAACACTGGCATCAAATGTTTAATAATATTCAACATCACCTTTTAGAAATTAAGGAGGCAGTAAACTAAAATGGAAATCTAAGACAGCTAAAAGCTCACTGTTCTGATTTTATAGCTTATTGTATAGTTATAACATAATCTAATTATTAACATCTTTACTTGCACACAAATACAAGATTCAATTCTATTATTAATATATTATGAAACACCACCAATGTATTCAATAGTGTCTGAGAAATAAAATGTTGTTAAGGTATTTCAAATAAAAATATAAAGAAGTAGAAGGATCTTTAAGCTTAATAGCATATATAGAAAAAAGTGACGTAGCACTGGATATAGGAAAAAGGGACACCATCAAATTGTTATATAGAGTACAATAGTCAAGCTACATACCAAAAACGTATGAACGACATGAATAATTGTGTTTAAATTTAAATTTGAATTTAATCAGGTATTGAAATATTTCATTACATGTTTTTTCGGCAATAACTGACATTACAATGTTTCTGAATAAGCAAGTCTGACTTTTTGTTGCTAAGCTGAGGCTTTACTTTAGCCCACACGCATTTACAACCTAAAGGTGTCATTAACAAAGTTTCTGCTACAGACATTAAAAGATACAAAAGTACTATTTAAATATTTATACCAGCACTTATTAGACCTTATTTCCTAAGTTCCTTAATAATGGAAATTATTTTTCTAAATAGTTATTCCACTTTTTAAAAATATTTCAAGTTAATTAAAAATACTCATTGGCTTTCTACTTGGACATTCAAAAGATGAAAAAAATCTTCTTACCATTGCAATATCCCTTTCTCTCAATTTTGGCACTCAGTGAAACTGGGCCAGAAGTGAAAAACCAACAGCCAACCATTTTCTCATGACTTCTCAATACAGGTGTCTTTAAAAACGCAAGAATTTAAAAATACAAGAATTTTCATTAAATATAATGCAAGATAGTTTTCCTGAAGAATGTAATGAAACACTTACTAAAAACTCTTACTTTTATGTTTACTGTAATACGGACTAATAATCATCAAACAGGACTTAGTGACGTAGTTAATATTTTATCATGGGCATAGTGTTGATCTTGGATTCTTAAAAATTATGCTAGCTGAGCATAAATCCTGGCAATTCCTACCAAGATGGAAAGACCAGTAACTTCAAGAATATTTGTGGTCTAAGGATATCAGGAGGAGAATAGCCACAGCAATCCAGACCACCTTACAAGTTGTGAAGAGGCTTCAGTCTGCTTTGGTGAAAAGAGTACTGAAATCAACTAAATTATGTTTCTTCTGAAGCATTTAAAAGACAGCTAAAAAAAAACCTAGTTAATTCACCATAAATTCTCCTTTTGTCTTGTTCCTTTCATACCTTATGCTATAAACTGCTTATGACAGTATGAAGTACTACAAATACACTCTACTAGATCTTGTTTCTTCTCTCGAAAAATAAAATGAGATTATAGCCTGTTTCCTCAACTGTACTATTAAGGTTTAAATTGATAATAATGGCAATCATTCTATGGAAGCATTTATCCTGTGAACATAATCTGCAGTGACTATACAACATTTTAAGTCTATTTAGATAATCAGCATATCAACTTATAGACAATTAATTTTAAAAAGTAAAATTTTAAAAATAACCTCAGAATTTCTCAGTACATGAGGGAGACTGACAGTAAGACGTAATATGCAATCACAATCTCAGCTTAGACATTCAGGCAATACCAATTTTTAAGTGAGGAATATCAAAGTAGGCTTATCTTTCTTAACAACAACAACAAAAAAGCCCAGATAGTTCAGCTGTCTAGTCTCAATTTGAATTTTTAAATAAATGTGTCTATCAATTATACAGTAACAAACAGCACAATGAGTTTTGAGGGTCTAAGCACACTACTGTATTTTCTGTAATATCAAGAAGCTATGGCAATAAGCAATGCCATCAATTCACAAAGCTCCTACACTCCTACAGTTAAGCTTTTTTGTTAAATGAAAATATGGTTTCTTTTAAGGTGTTGGTAGCCAATTCGATGGGGTGAGACACTTAAAAGGCTATCTGTCATCTGTTTTTTACTGTATATCAAATGGCTTGAAAAATAACAGTTCTTAATCTTTTTTTGATTTGGGATATTCCCTACACCTGCCTTTAGCAGTCCAGCAAAATCTGGATCCCTTCTCAGAATGTTTTGAAATACATAAAGGAAACCAAGCATAAAGAAATACAGTTATAAAGCACAGTACCTGGAATATCATAAGATCTAAATATAGGCTTATTTCCCTTCCATCTCCCCCTCACCCAATTAAAAAAAGTTCATGTACCCCAGGTTAAAAATTCTTCCTTGAAACTATTTTTAATTAAAATTACCATTAAGGGATTATTAAAGTTGATAAAATATACTTCTCACATATAAGAAACCTGTACAAATATATTAACATACTGAGGTCGGGGTATATGGCTTTAAGTAACTGGATTTTCCTACTGCTAGTCTTCTGATTATTTTATGATCTATGTAGACTGCAATATGATCAAGGCAATCAATATCTTTAATGAAGCATCTTATCATAAGTCATCGATTGGCTTTGATATTTCTCCAGTTCATTGTATATAACTGACAGTCTTATAACTATCTAAAAATTATTAAAACAAGTCATATATATTTACTTTTAGTGATTACATGATCAAATCTTAACTTCTTTTCCTTGTCTTTAAATAGAACCCCTAATATTAGTAGTAAAATAATCCCCAGATACTAAAAATACATTATAGTCACATTATGATAGGAAGTTTAAATTATCCAGCATTTTCTATGAAGTAAAAATCATTCATTCATATTTAAATGTAGAACCATTAGGTCTTACTAGCTATCATGAAAGTACAAGGTATAATTTTATATTATTTTGATAATATGGGTTTAGATAAAAGAATCTAGCTCATTAGCTCCCATCTTGCCTATTCTGTTGTTACTTATAGTCTGATCTTCCTTATCATTCTACAGTATTTCTAGTGATTATTAGAAGTTCAATGCTTTAATGTGGCCAAATCTGTCATAAGGAAATGATAACTGAAAGGCTCTCTGCAGCAGCTGCGTGTACTTACTTAATGTTAGAAAATGACATGCAAAATGGAAGGATACACAGCATAATGGCCAGAGCTTAAATAACAGGCTAAGCATGATTAATACTCTACTATAATTACTGTTTCTCAACCTACTATTATTGAGGAGCTTAGGACACTACAGCCCTGTGAATATAGTTGCTCTGGTAAAAGTAACTACTTTACACTTGTGCATTATTATTATTAAGCTTTATTAATGCATTTCAAGCTTGCATAACTTTTTGGCAAAAGAAATTCTGAACAGCAAGGATATAATCAATAGTATTAACACACTCACAAAAATTGTAATTTTCCCAACCTAAGATCATCTATTTATGGTGAATGCTTATGGGTTACAAAATTATACTCTTTAAGTAGTCATAAAGTGACAGGTCATACCGTCACCAAATTGGCTAAATCTTGGTTTAAAATATTTTGTGTAGTTATAATTAAAAAAAATCTTACTAATAAAGCTGGTGTGTTGACATCAATATGACTAATAACTTGGAGTTCTCTTTTTATACTTTGGTCGGGTAACATAGGCCGTTTCAAGACTGCTCTCACAGAGTATTGAATACTGCCATACTTCCCAGTGAATGATGTTACCAAAGGCCTGAAATAAACACCATACATTAATTTATAAGTTTGATAAGAATTAAAAAGTAGTTGGAGAGTAACATAATTCTAAAGAACTGGTGGGTTAAAGAATCCATTATAGAAATAGAAAATTTTACCAAAGAAAGGGACAATAATGAGACAATATATCAAAATTCATGGGATACAGCCAAAATAGTTCTGAGGAAAAATTTTATACCTCTAAACACTTTCATAAACAAAAGATAAAAAGTAAGAAATGAATTGTGGATGTAATTAATTTACAAGTTTGTTTTACATGGGGCAGAGGGGTGGAAGTTCTGGGGGGTGGGAGGAGAGACGGTGCAGGACTGTCTGGACATGCTAATTCATCTGTGTTGGGAAAACCATAGCATAGAAAACTCTCTCCACCCATGTATACTGTTTACACACAATAGTCTTAAGAAGACTGGCTGGTCAAATGAAAGGTTGTGAATGGTCACACAGCCAGTATGTGTCAGAAGAACTCCTCAACCTGGGTTTTCCAGATTCCAAGGCCAATCCTCTGTGTACTACATTATGGCAATTTTCTTATCTTACATTAAACATAAAATTGACCTTCAATAATGTTATTTTGTCAGTATACTTTTACTTCTGATAAATAGCAAGCAAAAATGTTTATCTATTGAACAAACATGTAAATCTAAGAAACAGAAGATTCTTGATGTCTACAGTCTAGTTATTTTGTAGGGAAAGAAAAAAATTAGATAGGATTCACTTACTCAGATGGGAGCTGAAAGCTGAATGGAAATTCGTATTTTCCAGGTTGTAATAAAATGACGCTTTCACCTATAAAAGACAGATTAGATATCTTAAACAAGTCTATTATAAAATCAAATTTTTATGACACAAACTAGTTTTTATTTGATTTTCATATTTCTTTTGCTACTATGGATATGCATAAAAAGTTTATTAACCTGAGAAGGTAAATTTTTTTTCTTTTTGTGGGATGCAAAATGCACAGAACAAAAAAAGACAAAGGGTCACAAACAGCAGTTGTTACTACCTGTTTAATATATGAATATACTTCAAAAATACAAACTGTACATATAAAATTCAATTTCTAATATAGCTTCTTTTAAAACTAAACATTTGTTAAAATTGTACTTTGTATCTGAAAATTGAAAGTAGGAGTGAAATACTTTTTCATCACTGAATTTTTTTCTCAAGTATACAAAAATGTACACATAAGACAATTTTGATTATAAGCCATTAGGTTAATGAAAATAAATTCTTGCTTCTTTTACTCCGTGAATTCTTCGGAAAAGTCAGAGTAAAGAAATGATGAGTGTTACATGTTAATCTTTCCCAAAAATAGGTTTCTAGAAAGTATATGATTTGAGAACTAGAAGCAACTCTAGAGATCACCTAATTCAATACCCTTGTTTGACAGATGAGGAAACTGAGACTCAGAAGAGTGTTACTCAGTCTCACAGTCAGTCCATGGCAGAATTCAGCTGAGCTTGACTTTCAGGTGTACATCCACTTCAGGATATCACGCTGCCTTCCAATTGGTATTCAGCTATTTTATACAGCATCTATGGATGCTTTAGCTAAGTTACTTAGAGATAAGAGCTGGTAGTAATAAGGCTGTATTAATGTTGTAGGTAATGAAACTTAACCAAAATTTAGATATTCCCTTCTGGTTAGTTACCTTATCTTTGATCCATTAACATGAGATTGAAGTTTTTTCACTCTAGGCAACTGTCTCATAAATTTATTTTATTCTCCAAAAGGAAGATGAGACCAGATAATATGATAGGTTTATGTAACTGTGCCAGGTACTATGTTATGTGCTGGGGGCTATAAAGATAAGAGCAAAACAGTTCCTTCCTTCTAAGGGCTTACATTATAATTGGGAAGAAAATATGAACACAAAAATAAAGATACAAACTAAGTCTGGGAACGGAGGCATTACAAGTTATTGGGGATCCCCAAAGTCCTTTTGAAAAAGGTAGTGCATAGGCACAATCTCAGGAAACCAGATTCCAGGATACAGTAGTGAAGGAGTATATTCTAGGCATGGAGACCGAAGATGGAATGTAGTGTAAGGATTACGAAGATCAACTGGCTGAATTATAGGGTACATGGAAGAGAATATATAACATACTAAGGCTGATAAGATAGGATGGGGTCAGGTTGGATATAGGTTTAAATGCCAAAGGAGTCTCTATTTCATCTTAGAAGAAATAAGGAGCCACTGGAGCTTACTGACTTGAGGAATGAGTTAGTCGGAGCTGTGTTTTAGGAAAATCATTTTGGCAGCTACATGGAAGATGGGACTTGAGGGATGATGGGAAGAGACTTGAAAAAGCCCCCCCCCCCCAAAGCTAATCAATTAATCCAGGTGGAGAGGTCATGAGGGCCTGAACTACAGCAGTAACAAAGTAGAGAGAAAGAGTCATGAGAAATGTTGTGGAGGTAGGATCAACATGACTTGTTAACTGATTGGATATTCAGGTTAAGAGAGAGGAAGGATGACACTAATGTCATAAACATGGGTAACTGGAAGGACATATGGTAACAGAAATAGAGGTTCAGAAGAGGGGTCAGGTTTGGGGGGAAAAAGTTCTGTACATGTTGAGTTTGAGTTATCTACAGAAAATTCAGTCTGAAATTTCCAAGAAGCAGTCAGTGATAATAGAAATAAAACACAGAAAGAAACTAGGGCTGCATATAAAGATGTGGGAGTCAATTTTAAAGGATAATTAAACCCATGAGAATTGCTGAAGGCACCAAACAAAACACAGAGGGGGGAAAAAAGGGCATACAGCAGAGATTCCAGTTTATATGAACAATTGAATTAGTTATCCATTAATTCAATTAAACAAGTATTTATTAAATACCAAGCATTGTGTTCAACACTAGGTACACAACAAAAACAGAAAGTCCCTGTTCTCAGGGAGCTTAAATTCTTCTGGTAGGAAATAATACATATATACACAAAGTAAATAAAAAGTAATTTCTTTGAGGGTCAAGGGACAGTCCTAACAATTGTGGGGATCAGGAAAAGCCTCTTGAAGAAGTGGCACTTGAGTAGAGTGCCAAAGTTAGCTAGATTCCATAAGGCAAAATGAGGCAGGAGGGCATATATGACAGTCTATGTGAAGGCAGAGATGCAAGAGATGGAATATCATGAACCAGGTACAGGAAAGAGGACAGTTTGGCAAATATGCAGTGCAAAAAGAAATATCAAATCAGTCCAGGTAGACAGGTTGGAGTTACTCATGAATAATTTCCAATGTCAAAGAGAGAGGAACTTAAATTTTTACCTGGAGACAAGTAGGAAACCAATGAGGCTTCTTGAGCAGGTGAGTGACAAGGATAAAACTGTGCTTTAGGAAGAGCAATTTTACAATTGTTTGGAAAGGGGAGAGAATGAAGGCAAGGAGACCTATTAAAAAGCTATGCAATAGTCTAGGTGAAAGGTGATAAGACCTTAAACAACGAACTGTGAGTAGAGAAGGGGACAGATATGAGGCATCACTGAAGCAGAATCTATAGGGTGTGGCACCTGGGGAGACGGGAGAGGGGGGTGAGATAGAGAGGAGTTCATGAGGAAATATGAAGAGTTAAGGAAGACTCTGAATTTTCAAAGATGAATGACTGGAGGAATGGTGGTACTCTCCATAGAAATAACAGGGGAAGTTAAAATGGATTGTTTTGTTTTGGGCGGGAGGGGAATGGTATAATGGCAAGTGTCAGGGGAGAGAAAATGAGTTAGTTATAAATGTGCTGAGCTTTAGGTATGTCCAAGTGGGGATGCTTAATATGCAGTTGGTAATGTGAGGCAAGCTCTGGAAGAAAGATGAGAAAGATTTGGGAGTCATCTGCAATCAAGAAGATGACTGAACCCTCTGGAGTTAAGACTGAGACAAAGTATACAGACAAAAGAGGGCTCAGGATAAATTTCTGGGATATTTCTATACTTAGAAGGTAGGAAATAAATGACAATTCTACAAGGAAGACTAAGAAGGGATCAAACAAGTTGGAGAACTAAGAGCAGTCTCATGGCCCTTCTTAATCTTCCTTACAGGATTATCCAATAATCTATACCCTAAAGGATATATGGATCTCATTCATGCTGAAAGTTCCCTCCAACAATGCAGACTTCCACCTACCCATGTCTTCTGATTCCATATGACTTTTGTCCATGGATTCCTAAAGACATCACACTGGGTTCTCCAACATGCTGGAAGCCTTTTTCCCTTCTCTTGGTATTGTAAAGAGATCAATGGGAAGCAGGCTATCCGTCCATCAATTTTCTATTATTGTTAGAGATTACAACCTTAAGAGCACAGATATTCAAGACATATGATAAACACACAATACTCTGAATATTATGCAATTAAAAAGCACTTTTCAGTGTAAAAAGTATTTTTTCACATGCAGAAAAGTGAATTCAGCAAGGTGACAAAGTCTCACAGTACGAAAATGGAAATCCTGAATTACAACCTATTGAGCCATATTGCATAAAATATCTATTTGATTTTAATGACACCTTCTTTACACTGAAAACTGAAACTGTACATTTTGAAACAAGACTCAACTATTTAAAAAAACATAACTAGCAAAAATAAAATACAAAATGGTTGCAATAATTTTAATGAAACTACTTTCTATTCAAATGTTTACAGTTTAACATCTTCAACGATGAATCAATTTGTGAAATGTGCTAACTGCTTATCTAATTAAAGCCTTCTGCCTTGATCAAAGACATTTACAGAGATGTTTGCTAAGCAGCACACAAATGTTTGCCAAGCCTGACTCCCTAGCATGAAATATGACAGCGAATGAAATTATATTTGCATTTCCCTGAGGTTAAAAAAGCTCTGTCTTCAACAACATGAGGCCAGTGGTTTGCTTTTATTTAACTTTGCATTTCCTCCAATGTTTCACCCATAATACAGGCTTAATAAATGTTTGTTGAATTGAATCAAATAACAGGACTGTCAGAGCTTTCTTACCCTAGACATCAAGTGGCTAAAAGTTCTGATCTTATTATTTCAGCCTGTAGTTTGCTGTAAAGTAACTTTAAAGTATTTTATCAAAAGGCAGAAATAGGACCAATAAGAAGCAAGTTTCTTTTCAACAAGGAAAAATGCTCCAACAATTATAATAGTCCAAAAATGGAATCAACTCCCTTAGGAAGCTGAGTTCTCCATCTTGCGATATCTTGAAGAAGCTGTGCAATCATTTGTAGAAGATGATATAGATGAAATTCATATTTGAGTAGAGCTTTAATTAGATGATCTCTGAGCTATCTTTCCAGCTCTAAGATCATTATAGTACCCACATGAGATCATGAATCCAAAGTAGTAGCATTAATAATCATTGCTCACATTGATATGGCGTTAAATTTTAGATAAACCCATGTCCATGTTTTATGTGTGCACTGATTATAAAAAGTATATTTTAAAACACATCCAATAATATTCAATGTGAAGATAATTTCAAGGCAATAAACACCATCATGACTTGAGTCCACAGACCCAAGTCTTGAGGGTCTTCAAGGGCCAGAAAGCATAGTGCATTAGAAGTGCTTTGAAATCAATGGTCCTGAATTTAAAGCTTGACTATCTGAAACTATCTGTGTTATAATAGTTAAAAAATACTTTATTGCTCCTGGTCTCAGTTTCTTCTTATGTTAAAGCTGGGGCTTGCTAAATGACCTGTCAGTTACCAATGAGCTCTAACTCTATGGTTCTCACTCTTTTTAAGTGAAGTTATTTGTCCAAGGTTCCACAGATAAAAAATCAGGGTTAGAGCCAAGGCTTCCATACTTTCAGTTCCATGCCTTTTCATCTCCATCACAAATAACTTTACTAATACTTTCTGATCTCTACTAGCTCCACGATCTAAATTTCAACTTGTTTGTCACTCATTTCTGCATGTGTCCTTCTAATCTTACTTTAAACTGTCTTCAACCTTCCTTCCGAACCCCAATATTCCAAGTGCTTGTTCTATCCCAATGACTCCTACCTAATCCCCTTTTCACAATAGTCTCCCTTCAAGTACACACTCATTACCACCCCCTCCAAACTCTCCCCACATCTTTCTCATTCCAAGTCTTTTCCTTTCCTCTTCTCCATTTTACTACAAAGTAACCTTCACATCTCCTACTCCCGTTTATTCTACCTAGTACTATCAGCATTGTTTTCTGGAGTCAGAAGAAAGTTTGAAAGCCTTTAAAATACTTGAAGACTGCTACCCAAATCTTTTCTGCTGGCTAACCAGCTTTGGTTCTTTTTATCTTGTAGGTCACCACCCATCAATGAATATGGTGAGGCTAAGTCTCCCTTTCTGGTCCCCTAACCCCTCTACCCTTCCCATTCTCAGTTCCTCGAACACTCCTGGCCTCATCTAAGCTTCTTTCAATAGGCTCCCAGTAAAACTAATCGTTGATACCCTCGAGTTCTATTCTCCAGGACATCCCTATCCACTCTCCACACCTCATTTCCAGGCCGGCTCTCCATCACTTAATCCCCCCACCCCCGCCCAGTTCTACCTCTTTCCCCTAGTCACCCCCCCCCAGGCCAGACGTGCTTCAAGCCCCTTCACTCCCCACCCCCGCCCCCAGTTCAGCCTCCCTTTTGCCATACCCCGCCCCCCAGCTCTGCCTCACTCTAGTCACCCCCACCCCGACAGCCAGATGTACTTCAACCCCCTTCACCGCCGCCCCAGCCAGCTTGGCCTTATTCCCTTTCTGCGCCCCCCCCCCGCCCCGCTCTGGTTCTTTCCCCCCGGCCATCCCCGGGCAGCTCGGCCTCCCCCCCTTACTGCCCCCGCCCAGCTGGGCTTCCTTTCCCTTTTAACAGCCCCCCTTGACCCGACCCCCGGCTTACCTCACTCCGTTGCAAGCCGCCCCACCCCCGCCGGGTTTCCCACACACGCCTTGCCACCCCCCTCCCCTCAAACAGGCTGGCCTCATTCTCCTCGCCCCCCACCCCCACCCAACTTTCTCCATCGCTGCCCTCCCCCCACACCCCGGCAGCCCTGCCCCGCCCCCCTCCGCCTCAGGACGCCGGCCCCTCACCTGCTTCGGGCTCCCGGAGGCTCTGGCGGATGTTCAAGTACTCTACCTCCGCTTGCGGGGACCCCGAAGCGTCGAGCCAGTGGTGTCCGGCGCTCTGGCTCCAGGTGGCCCGGGCCCGGCCTTGGGCCTGCAGACGGAGCGCTCTGAGGGCCAACGGCTCGGTGATCTCCAGCAACACATGGCCAGCCACGGTCTCGCCGCTCGAGTAGCTGCTTTTCTGCTCGTCTTCGAAGACGAGCCCTAGACTCTTGACGCGGCCCTCGGCCACGGGTCCCGCCATGGCAGCTGCCCCCGTGGTTGCTTCACCCCCCATTCTCCTTCCCCCCTCACAGGCCACCTGCTCTCCGGCCGCTGCCCCGCGGCGACACCTCCTTTCACCAGGGTGGAGCTGGGGTCGAGGGTCGGGTGACCAGAACCACCCTTCTCCCACTTCGCTCTTTGGCTGCTGGGGTCACTAGCTGGTCCCTGGATGATCCCCAGCGCACTGAGGTGACTATCGCTTTAACAAACTCTCTCGAACCCCAGCTGGGACCTGGAAGGTGCAGAAAGAGCCAACCCACGCGCTTTCGTATTGGCTGGCTGAGAGGCCCACCTCTCCTTGATTGGCGCCAGGCCTCTACTGAGTCATTGCTTTGTCACCGCCCCTCCCTGCGTGATGAGGAGCAAGCAGAGCGTGATCAGAAAGGCCAGGCCAATGGGAAGTCGCGGGGGGCCGCGGGGGTGCACGTGCTTAGACACCTGATTGGACGAAGGAAGGCACCGGCACGATAAATGACCAATGGAAAGATGGTGCGCCCATGTGGACAGGCTTTGGGGAAACAACATTGTAAGGATGTGGAGCGAGTGAAAAGTCCTTACCTCTGTCTGTGTCACGAGTCTCCATGGTAACTCCAGGGGGCTGGGCTTCAAGAAGTACCACAAAGAGGAGTTTACAGTAAGAGCTGAAAGAGCCATTGGTATTCAACCTCTCTCTCTCTCTCTCTCTCTCTCTCTCTCTCTCTCTCTCTCTCTCTCTCTCTCTCTCTCTCTCTCTCTCTCTCTCTCTCTCTCTCTCTCTCTCTCTCTCTCTCTCTCTCTCTCTCTCTCTCTCTCTCTCTCTCTCTCTTTTTCTTTTACTAAAATTGTAGGACTCTACCGTGTATTGCCGTTAGAAAAAAAAAACTCAACCCCCCCCCCAAACCATGACTTTTGATTGTCTATTCTAATGGAGATAGGGGTGGAGATGGATGATGAGCTGGAGAAAGGGGTGTCCAGATTTCTTTAAAATATTGGATTTGGGGGCTGGCTTAATGAGAACTTGAAAAATAAACAACTTGGAAATTCCCATCCCTAGACTAAAACTTATTGAATTCCAAAAGCCCTGTGGTTCCTCTTTTTCTTTGTCTAGTCCATGCTTAGCCTCTCAGCCTTGATTTTCTTAAAATGATACGGTGGAAATAACCCTGAACCTGGCTTTGAAACCTCTGACACTTACAGAAGATAGGTAGAGGTAGCACTGGACCTGGAGTCAGCAGGACCCGAGTTCCAGTGTGACCTCAGACACTTACTAGCAAGTTAACCTTGGACAAGTCTCTTAACCTCTGTTCACCTCAGTTTTCAATGAAATGGAATAATAATAGTACCTGCCTCACAGGGTTTTGAGAATCGATGTAACATTTGTAAAGCACTATATAATGCTTCTATAATATTGTCATAATGGGCAATTCAATTAACATTTCTAGACCTCAGTTTCCATATTTTATGAAAGGTAGTGTAGTGAAAAGAACCTTGGATTTGAAGTCAGAGGACTTAGGTTCACAACTCTGACTTTCCTATCTAAAATCATTGAATCGTAGCTCTACAGAGGGACCTCAGACACTATATAGTCCATCCTTATTTTATGAATGAAGCCCATATAGTTCAGTGAGTTGAAGTAAGTAGGTAGCAAAGTGGAACAGGGTATGGAATGACTGACCTGGAGTTAAAAGAGTTCAAATCCAGCTTCTTACACTTAACCAACTATATGAGCTTGGGCAATAACCTCTGTATGCTTGTTTCCTCATCTGTAAAATGGGGATAATAATAGCACCTACCTCACAGGGTTATTGTGAGGATAAAATGAGCTAATAATTGTAAGGCACTTAGCACATGGTAAGCACTACATACATGTTAACCATTATTATTAAAGCTCTTTGCAAACAGTTCTCTATGAATGCTAGCTATTATTATTGCCCGAGATCGCAGAAATAGAAAGTGTTCACAGGCAGGATTTGAATACAGGGGTTCTAACTGCAGAGCCAGTGATAATTCCACACTTTACTCTTCGTCTTACCTGTGTGATCTTAGGAAAGTCACTCTTCACTCTCCTGGGCTTCAGTTTCCTTTTCTGTAAAATGAAGAAGGTGGACTCATTCCTGTTCTAAAATAAAAACAAAACAAAACAAAAAAACAATGGAGATTATACATTTCTTACCTCTTTCAGGGTCATGATGAAGAAAACACTTTCTAAAGAGACAGCATAAATAAAATCTAAACAGATTCTAAATCTAAATAGAATCATAGATTCTATAGTCACGGACTATCAAAGTTGAACGTGACCTCAAAGGTCTAACTAACCCTTCCCCATTCCTAATGCAGGAGTCCTCTCCATGACATAGATAGGTCTCTGTTTCTGCTTTAAAAGACCTTTAGGTGGGGAGAGCTAGGTGGGGCAGTGGATAGAGCACCGGCCCTGGAGTCAGGAGTACCTGAGTTCAAATTCGCCCTCAGACCAAACACTTGACACTAGCTGTGTGACCCTGGGCAAGTCTCTTAACCCCAATTGCCATAAAAAAAAATAAAAGACCTTTAAGTACAGGGAACTTATTGCTTTATAGGGTAAACTGTTTCAGTGTCAGATAGGTATGACTAAGGAAATTCTTTCTTATCCCTAGTAGACATGTTCCTTCCTGGAATCTGTCTCTTCTCTTCAACCTACTAGCATACAGTCTGCCCATCACTCCTAGTTCTATCCCAAGCAAGACAAGTCATGTTCTTACCATCCATTGGACATTGAACCAATTTAATAAACTGAGTTTCATTTTTAAGAAAAAATACAGAGGTAAAAAAGGCAGGACATCAACTATGTTCCATTTTGTTTGAATTCAGTCCATATATAGAGTCCATAGTTTTAAAAGAACATAACAGTTCTTATTTGAAGATTTTTACCTTAAAGTACTATCAGATTTTGTTATTATTATTCCTGCCTTACTCCAAACCATTTGCCAGCCTTAACAACCATAGTCTATAATGAATTCCATTTGCCTCAATAACATTTATTTCCCACACATTCAAATCTCACCTGTAACTGTCAGCTTCAGTTGACATTTTCCACACTTTTATCTTCAACTCATTCCCTACTGAATTGGTTTTCTCATGTGTCATTTCCAAATTATATTTGTTAATCACCACTCTGTAGTTACAACTATATCACATGATTCTTTTAAGTGAATTGCAAGTTGATGACTGGTTATCATATATTGACACAAGCAATTCCAGCTGAAGGTCTTCTCATCCTTTGCTAATTAAAGGAAGGTCTTTTACTTTGTTTTCCATATGAAAACATTTATTACATACATTTTATCCATTTATTACCTCTCCAATGAGGTTACCCCAATGGCTTAACATAGCTACTATGTATCAATACCTAAACACCTATTCTATAATGTTCAATGTTAATATCACACTCTACTTCCATGTAACTCTTATGTGATAATCTAATAGTTCTATACTTACATACCTTCTTGAAAATTCAAAATAATTTGCTAAGAAGTAAAGGTCAACTTTGAACTGCTAGCAGAATTAGCTGCACAAAAGAAATAGAGGATTACCTTAAAAAATATAAAATACCCAAAATATCAGAAGACCGAATCAAGGTCTTAAAACAATAAATCCCAAGGGAAGGGAGAAAACTGCCAAAGAAATAATTTCTGTTCCTATGATTCACAAGAGAATTCTATCAAGCTGCTAAAGAACAATCAATATCAATACTACACAAATTATTCTCAAAAAGTGAGAAAGCACCTCACTAAACACCTTTTATGAGATAAATATAGTCCTAATAACTAAACCAGAAAAAGATCAAATAAAGAAGTACTATAGAACAATATCCTTAATGAAAAGTGATTCAAAAATTTTAAATAAAATTCTGTCAAGCAGACTATAGTTATTTATCTAAGAAAGCATTCATTATGACCAAGATAGATTTATACCAGATATGCAAGGATACGTCAACATTAGGAAAGCAATCATTATAATAAATCATATTAAGAACAAAAATATTCCAAACCACATGATTGTTTTAATAAATGCTTAGAAAAAGATTTTGACAAAATAGAATACTCATTTGTGCTAAAAAAAAAAATCTACAAAGTATGTTATCTAAAGAGTAAGGGATGAGGATAAGCATTTAAATAGAACCTACTGTGTTCCAGGCACTGTGCCAAGGCACTTTTTTCCCACAAGTATCATCTCATTTGATACAACAGTCTTACAAGGTAGGTACTATTATCATCCTCTTTTTTACAGTTGAGGAAAGTGAGAAAAACAGAGGTTAAGTGACTTGCCCAGGATCACACAGCTAGTAAATGTCTGATACCAGATTTGAATTCAGGTCTTCCCAACTCTAGGCTTAGCACTGTAAAAGCAATGAAAATACCCTAGAAACATTTTCAATAAAAACAAGCATGAAACAAAGATGCCAACTCTCTCCAGTATTATTATAGTTATAGAAAGAGCAATAAGACAAGGAAAAAGAATTCAAATGTGTTAACAGTCAAGAAGATAAAACTGTCTATATCTGCTGATGACATGATGGTTTACTTAGAAAATCCCAAGGGAATAGAAAAGAAACTGAGATAATAGCTTCAGGAAAATTACAGGCTATAAAATAAATTCACAAAAAATTCCTAACATTTCTATAAAATCTAAGAGGCAATAATAGAAAGGGAAATCCCATTCAAAATATATTTAGGGTTTATGTTTGGACCATGCCAATATAAATGCCATGAAAAGACAACAGTACCAAAGTTAATTTACAATTTTAGTTCTCTAGTCTTCAGACTAACAAAAAAATAATTTACAGATCTTGATAAAATAATGACAGTTTGGAGGAAAGATCTATAATAACAAGGTAAATAATGAAAAAAGGAAAGGAATGAAGGGAGAATAGCACTTCTAGACCTCAAATTGTATCATAAAATAGCAGTCATCAAAATCATTTATTAAGAAATGGAGGAATGGAAGGGAATGAGCAGTTATAGAGTTCCTACTAAGTGCCATGTGGTATGCTCAGTTATTTTTACAAATATCTCTTCTGATCTTCACAACAACTCTGGGAGGTAGGTGCTATTATTATCTCCATTTTACAGAAGAGGAAGCTGAGGTGAACAGAGGTTAAGTGACTTATCCAGCATCACATAGCTAGTTAAGTGTCTGAGGCCAAAATTGAACTCATATTTTCCTGACTCCAAGCCCAGCATTTTATCTACTGTACCATAGAGAAGTAAAATGGTGAAATAAACAAAGGGGATTCAAAAACAAGTAAACTCAATAATTTAGTGCTCCATTTATCCTCAAACATTAATTACTTACAAAGAACTCCCTATTTGAAAAGAATTATTGAGAAAGCTGGAAAGAAGGCAGGCTTGGTTAGTCTTAGACTAACAACTTAAACCATATTCTACAATAAATTAAAAATGGATACATGACCTGAATATTAAAAATAATACCATTAAAAAATAGAATAGAAGAATATCATACACTTTTCACGGTTATGGATAGGAGATGGATTCTAAACTAAAGGAAGAAAGAAGGCAATTACAAAAGATGAAATAGATAATTTTTATTACACGTAAATTGAGAAACTTCTGCACAAACAAAATTAATACACCTAAGATAA